GCCCAGGGCGATGACGAATGGCTGATGATCTTGGCGGATAGTAGACCCTTAATCAGCAGGAAACTTCTTCCGTCAATTCAGCGACGTCTGGAAGGACTGCCATGTTATCACTGACATCTTCCGCGTAAAGGTCGCATCCTTCGCTGATACACACTTCCTTGTCCCCACGATCAGGCGCTGCTCTTCGATCTTGATTACGGGTCCAAAATGTCTCTGTCTCCATCTGACAATCTTGTCTAGCGTCTGTGCCTTTTCATCGATCTTGGTCATGACCTGTCTTTGCTCATCGATCTTGTCCGAAACTCGTCTCTGCACGTCGATCTTGATTACTAATCCGAAGTGACCCCGTCTCGTCTTGATTACGAATCTGATTCGGGCCTGTATCAGTGAGTCTGTCCCACATCTCTGTTGCACTGTCGCCTCCCGCAGAAAATTCTTGATCACGGAATGGGGCGGACTCATCCCGCGTGTGACACACCGTGTCCTCTGCCACCCGGTTGTGGAACAGCGACTGGCTTCGGTCGGCTTCGACGGTGTTCCTTCGATTGGCTTCGTCAGTGTTATTTGCCGCCTTGTCGCACACCGCCACCGCGGATATAGTCTTGCTCACACCAGGTCGAGGTTTCGACTACTCGGGCGCGGCCGCCCTCGATCCGGGCGAGATCGCTGGCGGTCTGGGCAGGATCCTGGTCGGCGTGGTGTACGACGGTCGTTCTACAGCAGGCCCTGGTCGGTCTACCACCTCGGGCACGTCGTCAATCTCGTCCGCCGCAGCTTGGTACGCAAGATTCTGCCACTTCGCATAGCGTCTCGACCCGACCAGGACATATACCGGTAAGCGCGGTACTCGACCTTCCGCTAACCACATTCCAATTCAATCGTGCTCTTGTTGCCATACTACACGGTCACTAGCATTGGTGATCTTCAGATAGCACTTCTTGCCCGGACCCAGCACGAGGTTGAGGTTTTGCTTCTAGGTCTGCCGCCAGACCTCCCTCTGTTCCGTCGGTAGAGCTCCTCCCAAAACTCTGCC